CCCCAAAACCCCAAAACCCCAAAACCCCAAAACCCCTAAAGACCAAAATATAAGTAAAATTGAAATTATTAATTTATATCACATAAATTCTTAAATTAAGAAATATTAGCTTGACTGAATAATCGAAGATTGAATATTTCATTAAAATTGTTATCATTCAGTGAACATTTGAACTTTAAACTTAAGTGATACTATCCATGATTTTCATCAACTCATCATCAAAATTATTGATAGATTTTATTTACTCTAACTTATTCTTTATAATTTTCATTGGTAAATTAATCTTCATGATAAAACCTTTTGAATTCCAAAACTTTCTTGCAAGAAGCAGAGAAAATCCTCCATTTTCCACTGTTGAAGATGCACTAAAATTGTACTGAAACTGCAGTGTAGATATTAGTTTCTCATAGCTTTGAAGTGTATCCTCGTCATATATTCCTTTATCAAAGTCAAGTAGTATTCTTAATTTATCTTCTCTTGCAATAATTAGAAGAGGAGGATAGTTATTGAAATACTTTTGGTTTACTAGAAAGATAATATCATTTCGATCTATTATAATTTACTTATCCACAAGAGTGTCTCTGCAAATTATCTTAACAATACGCTATTTTTAGAAATTCTCAATTAAGTTGCATACATATTTGCTATTCAAGTATGAGCAATGCACATGTTCATTAGTTCTATTTAATTAAATAGCTTTAGTAAAAACGCAGGATGAAAAGCCTCCATCAGATGAGATTGGTAATAATATTAATAGTTTTGTCAGCGTAATACAAAATTTATGCCTATGTCTGTTTCAAAAACTATACTAATTCAAATTATTACCACACTAATTTTGTCATTGGTGATGCAATAACAGATTAAGTTGAAATCTCCTCATTTGACATTTAAGGAAAGGATCTTGCTGTATCATTTTATGAAATCACACAATCCAGAGTTTACATCATGCTTTACGATTTAAAGAAAAACTAAGTGTAGTGGTCCTTTTATTGAGGAAATAACTAAAAATTTGAATCAACAAATTTCCTTACTCTCTAAGATTAAATAGCATTAATTGATAGTGAGAACTTGCTTTTATTCATTGATAACAAGAGTGGTACTATTTTATTATAATACTAACTCAGCTTTTAAAAACTTAATCCATAGCAAATGATATTTGATATATACGATAGAGGGTATATAGGGCTAGAGGGCAATGATTGATACTCTGTATCCATGGTTTAGGTGAAATCAGATTAAAATCTAACAAGATAATAGATTTATAACTATAAAAGTTACCCAGGAAACTAAGTTTACGAAATGGTTTATTCTAGTGATCAGAGATATATTTATTTTAGTACTTCCTGCAACTATTATCTTACTTATAGAAACGGAATAGGTTAAATAAACATAAATGATCCAACCAATCCAAAAATATTTACATAAAACAATAAGGTAGAAGGATAAGGATAAGACAGAGAACTTATGATTAAAGGTCTTAGTGCGAATGATGATCTAGTAGTTGGTGTAATGTTTCATTAAAATAAACTTGATGGCTAGAAAATAGGTGTAACAGTGCTTATCCCATCTCAAGATAGTTTCAAATTGTATTACTAAGATGACCTAAATTACAATAATATTGATATCTAATCATCTATGATTATTAACAATACATTTGTTAGATTCTTTATGCAGGTCTATGAATCTTCATAATCTTAGAGATATCAACAGATTGGTGAGTTTGATCTTACAAAGCAAGATAAAATAATATTCAAAAATTTGCAAGATTATCCTTTCAAATGGACCTTTTATACAAATATGCTAGTACGGAATATCAGCCAACTATTTATCTTCGGAAGTATGAAATAAAAATATGGGTATAATAGCCAAGCATTCATAAATCCATACATCGAAGATCCAACTTGTAAGTATTAACAGCCAATAGGAAACGGCTAAAGTTATAATGTGAAGTCTGAAGTAGATCTAGGTGTTGATTATGATAGTATTTACATTAGAATCAAAGTCATAAGCTTTGAAGATATAAAGCCAATGGATCCAGAAACCTTGATAAAAGGTGAATTCAAAAATGTTTATAATAATTAAAAACCTTGCGACCTTCCTTAAAAAGGATTTGAGGTAATCACTCCAGAGTCTAAAAATGAGACAGTTAAATGCTTCGTAGATATTCCTTGTTTTACAATGATTGGAGAGATCAAAGCTGAATTTGATTGTTCTAATTTAAACAACAGTTTGAAGATGAACCTATATAATTCTTCTGAAAATAATCTGTGGTTTCATTAGGAAAAGAAATATATTACGAAGGGAGGAATAACTTACCTGAATATTACATTTAATAGTACTTAGCATGCATTATATAGGAATTATGTTAATTTGGTGCAACTTCAATCTTAGGCAGATTCTATTTTAAGTATTAAGTACAACCTTACTTTCTAAGTTTTCTGGCCTTGTGAAATAGGCAATGTTTCAAAGTTTAATGACCAAAACATTTATTTGTTAAGGAATAGGAGTATTGCCAATGTCTAGCTCAATATGTTCAAATTTGTCGATGATAATTCCTGCTTTAAGCATGAGATATAAGAGGTAATCCAAGATGGTAAGGTAATTGTACAGATGAAAAACTTTAATTCCTGGCTATTTTTTAAGGATCCCTTAGTTTAATATGTATCTATAAATACTTCATACTATCTTCCGCTTACTAAATATATTGCATTTGTCAACGTAACTAATTTCGATCCTGAATCAAATTAACTTGTGAGTACTGCTTTATAAAGACTATATATTCTATTTGATCCTATACGAGAAATAGACTCACCTCCATTTTTCAAGTCATATGTTCCAAAGTTAATAACAGCTCCTAACTTGATAAATTACTATGATATTCCAAAGATTCAAGATAACCAAGGAGATAATTATACTTTAATAATCAATTTCGGAGAAGCATTTCCTTTTATTACCTTGAAAGATGAAAGAATGAAAATAAGCCCAACTCTTAATGAAAGTGGAAAATATGTTGTTATCTTCTAGTTGAAGCAAGTTAAATATCCTAATTTATCTTCGTTCTACCATCTAGATATAATAGTGGAAAATTAAAAAAATAATGACACTAATTAAAGCCTGAACTCAAAGACTTTTCAAATGACTAATTCTGCAATAATCACTTCAATAAATGCAACTGGATTTGCTATTGTAAAATTTAAAGATAAATTGGTAATACCTAAAGATTTCTTGCAAATAGAATAAAATGAGATAGCTATAGAAGTTAACTTTGAAATTTAAGGTGGAAGCTAACAAATCAGTTATAAAATAATATTTATGTCAAAAGATACGATTACATTTAAGCTTTTGTTTAAAAATATTTATGAAATTTCTAAATATCAGGAACAGGATACTTTAAGTATTAGATTTAATGATATGTCATTATTTTATGATCAAAATACAAATCAATTTCCTCCTAATTATAAAATTAAAAAGAGTATCCCTCGTCAGATTCCTTAAGGTTAGTTAAAATACTATCTCTCTAAATGCTTTATAGACTTTGCAAATTTTCTTGTGAGCTATGGACTTGGGTTTAAGCTAACTTCAAATACAATTTTAGGAACTAATGTAATTGCAACACTGCTCATGTAATATTTGATTTTCATATTACTTTATAGTTCTTAGACACTATAGCACCTTTGGAGTGCTATTAATTCGTTTCAGATATTATCGCACCTTCCAATGATTGCAATCAATTCTCCAGCTAATGTACAAATATTCTATCTATATGTGCTTACACTTTCAACATTCAACATATTACCGCTAGATTCAGTATATACCCAACTTCTGCAACTCAGTGATGAAATAGATTACCCTATGAATGATTATTTCTCTTAGTATGGATATAACTCAATAAATGTCATCATTAATCTGGGTACAATATTCATGATTCTTGTGATTAATATTCTTATTATATTCTTGACATTGATGCTAAAAGTACTTACTAGATTAATTCCCAGGTATGATCTAATAATGATATTCTATAATGACTTTAGGCTACGAAGTCTGTATAAATGGGTTGTCTCAAAATTATTCATGAACTATTACATCAGATTTTTTCTGGAAGCATACTTAGAACTTGCTTTGTGTTCTTTGATTAATTTTCAACTAGTAAGCTAATGTGCTAACTAGATAATTTTTTAGGATAAAAGGATTTCATCATCTTTTGGTCAGCGCATAGGAGTTATAGCATCTACCCTCATTATGATATCCATTTTTCTATTCCCAATGCTTATTCTACTATTGTTAGTAGCCTATCAAAATTAACTAGACGAACCTGAAAACATTAGAAAATTTGGGTCATGCTATGAACTCTATAGAACAGACAGACTATCAAGTACATTATATGTTTTCTCTTTTACTATAAGAAGATTATTATTTTCTTTTACAATAGTATTATTGAGAGATGAACCCATTTATTAGATTATTATACTAATGGTAAGCTCTCTGGCTATTTTGATTTACATTATTAACTATAAGCCCTGCAAATCTAAGTTTGATAACTATTTGGAGATATTTAATGAGCTATCAGTATTAGCTAGTTTTTATGTTTAAATGTGCTACACAGACTTTTTGAATGAAAATTCTTAAATTAAAATGAATATTGGATGGGTACTAATTTTTATTTCCTGTGGTTCTTACGGTGTAAATATGCTAATTATTTTGATAATGCTCCTTGTTCATTAAACATAAAGTATAAGTAGAATTTGCAAATTAATGTTGGTTAGAATAAAACAATTCATAAGACTTTATATGAAAGCTCGAACTAAAGCGAGAATTACTTAAATTAATTTAGAATAGCAAAAGAAAAATATGAAAAATCCTATCGCATTTTTGAATAAATAAAGCCAAGAGACAATTATTCTGAAGAAAAATATAAACTTAGAAAATATCCTAAATAATGAAGATTAAGGTATATTTGTGTAATCAATTCAAAGTTCATCACCAATAAATTCCTCAATTAGCTTTTCTTCAAAAAAATCTTTGATTTAACAAGAAGAAAGCAAGGTAAATTATAAGGACTAGAAGTATCAGAATTCAACTCTTCTTGAGATAAACAACCATAAAATTAGTTTGGAAAAAAATAACATTAAAGAGGAAAATAAAGTATCTTGGTCTCGTATAAAAAGATTAGATTCTTTAAAACTTAACAATCATAAATCTAATTTAGTGAATGATAATTAAGTTATAGAAAAGCCTAATTAAGTTGAACTTTTCAATATATTCGGTTTTCAACTATAAGATTAAAATATGTATTAAAGAAAATGATATATTAAGAGTAATATGATTTTTATTCTAATAAAACATAATTTGATTATTTTAAACAATCTTAGCTAAGGGGTTTTGGGGTTTTGGGG